TCTGAATCTGAATGCTCCTCGTTCTATTCCGTGTTCTACTGTGTGTCCAGAGTGACCTTTCTAGGATGCAGGTCTCACTGTTGTACCCTCCTGTTTCAAAATATCACACATTGCCATTGAAGGTCTTTGAGCTTTAAGTCTAAGTGTGGATAGGTCTTGTGCTGACCTATTTCTCCACCATCATCCCCGGCCACTGAAGGCTCTGCCCACACACAAATTTGTAGCTGCTGTTCCTCCTGGATACCATATGCCTTCAGTGCTCACTCTTCCCTCCTTCTTCCCTCCCTCCCTTCCTCCCTCCTTGCCTTCCTCCTTCTTTGTTTTGTTTTGTTTTCTTTTTTCTTTTCTTTCCCTCCCTCCCTTTCCCTTCCTTCATTCCCTTCCTTCCCTCCCTCCCTCCCTCGCTTCTCCCTTCCTCCCTCCCTTACTTTCTCTGTTTACTTCTTTCTCTGTTTGTCTTTCTCTCCTTTTCCCTCTTTCTTTCTTTTCTTTCTTTCTTTCTTCACCACCTCTCCCTAGGATGCCTTTTTCCCCTTCTCCAACTGGCAGACATCCTTAGGGAACCAGACAAATGTCTCCTTTCCTCTAGACCCTTCCCTGATCCCCACATCCTTCCATCCTGTTGCTTCTTCTGTGCACAGATAGTATTTTTTAATGTTTATCTGTTGTCTCAGAGAACGACTTTATGACACAGTTATGTGCCTGTAAGCACTGGTCTTGGCACAAGCCAGCAGAATAGTAGGGGCTCAAGAAAAGTTGGTTGGTTTGAGTAAATGAATACCTGAAATTATAGGGTCTAGAAAGATCTTATGAGATGGAATCTAACAAGTTGAAGATCATTAAAGGTATATGTAGAGGAAGAGAAATTCTACACGCACAAGGATGAAAGTAATGTGGTTTAACAGCAAAATGTGTTAAAAATCACTTAGGGGTTTTGGTTGACAACTCTGTGAGCCAACAATATTAGATGGTAACCAAAAAAAAAAAAAAAAGAAAGAAAAGAATATGAAGTTTCTTAAATGAAGAAACTGAGTGTCTACTCTTACACCTAGAGTATCATGTTTGTGACTGTGTTTTGTGGTTTTAGAGGGATTTAGATTAAAACAGCAACAATTATTGAAATTACTTTCTTTTTAGTGTTTTTGAAAACAAACAAACAAAACCCAAATAGAGAAACCACTAGCTAACACAGTCAAGAAGAAAAAGGGAAGAAGCACAAGGGTACAAAATAAGAAATGGCAGGGGAAAGGAAATCATCGAAACAGACAAAAATGTACAGGACACTTTAGGCCTTCCAGCAAATACATTTGAGAGCTTTGTGAAATGCATGGTTTCTTGGGAAAACAAAGATAACCAATTGATAGAGATAGCAGGTGTGTACAGAGCAATTTCCATAGAGGAAAAAGAGATACTTAGTAAGTATCCATCTCTCAAAAAAAGCATCAGGCCCAGATTTCTTCACAGAGAAATGCTACCAAGCCTTCCAATATCAAATAGTCCCAATGCTCTATACATTATTAAAGAGAGTTGAAAATGAAGGGAAACTTTCCACTTCTTTTTATGAAACAGGTATAATATTGACTATCTCCACATGATACAGTACAGAAAACTATTACTTATTCATAATGTTTATAAATATCCATGAAAAAATATAAAATATATAGTGCTAATATAAGACAAATAAATATTTTATTAACAAATAGAATCCAACACTATGTAAAAATATAATTCACTATGATAAGTCAAAGTAACGGCATTATTTGGAAATCCATTAATATCATATACCATATTAGTAGGGTTTAGAATAATCATAGGATTATCTCCATAAATGCTGACAAAACTTTTGTCAGAATTCAACATCCATTCTTCGTGAAAATATTCAAGAAAATAGGACTTGATGGATACTTTCTTAACATGATTTTATATATATATACACATACACACACACTTATACACATATAAGTATATATGTATGTGTATACACACATAAATGTATGTATATATAACATGTATATACTATGTATGTATATAAAATATGTGTGTACATGTGTATATATATATATACACATGTTGTGTTCTTATGTAGGTGTATGTATATCTATGCACATAATGTATTTTCATCTTAGTCTTAAAACCAGTAATATTAGGAAAGACTACAAGTATTTTCTTTAATACAGGAACAAGGAGAAAATAACCATTGTTCCACTGCTTTTCAACCAGATGTAACCATACAGTTAGACTAAAGGGATTGATTAGAGGCACAAGGATTAGTAGAGTAAAACTATCTCTGTTTGCAGATGATATCTTAGTAAACCTGGAAAACCACACAGAATCAATGACATGACTAACTCAGACAATAAAAGGTAAGGTAATAGGGTGTAAAATTAACCTACCAAAATCAATAGCCTTCATATACACCAACAATAACCAGTTAGGGAACATAATGGTGGAAAAAACCCTTTACAGTAGCAACAAAGAAGATTAAATATTTAGGAACTGAACAAGAAATGTGCAAACTTTAAAACACTCCGGAAAAACATGATTAAACAAATGAAAAGTCATCCTGTGTTCTTGAGTAGGATAATTCAACAATAGAAAGAAATCAGTACTTCCTAAGTAATTTTAAAATTTAATACAATCTTAATAAGAATTCTAACAAGTTTTTACAGGAAGTTAGACAAATCAATATAAAGTTTACATGGAAATATAAATATGCAAGAATGGTCAAGAAAACACTAAAAAAGATTTTTCCGGAAGGGACTAGCCCTTCCAGACATTAAAATATACTATAAGGTGCCTGGGTGGCACAATCAGGTACGTACCTGACTCTTGATTTCAGCTCAGGTCACGATCTCAGGGTAATGAGATCAAGCCTTGCATTGGGCTCCATGCCCAGCACGGAGCCTGCTTGAGATCTCGCTCTCCCACTGCCCCTCCTGTTCACGCTCTCTCTCTTTCTGTCTCTCAAATAAATACATAAATCTTAAAAAGAATACTATAAAGCATCAATGATTAACACATTATTCAGTGCATGAGTAAATAAGTGAAATAGACTAGAAAGCCATGGAAGAAACCCAAGAACGAATGGAAATTAGGTCAGTAATAAAGATGGCATCTCAAATCACTGGGTAATAGGTCTTTTTTTTTTTGAAATATACTTTATTTCCTGCATTTTTTTTTATTGTGATAAAAACATAACTTTTTTCAGTCAGTTAAGCATCTGGTTTTGGTTCAGGTCATGATCTCAGGGCCCTGGTACCGAGCCCTGCTTTGGGCTCTGTGTTCAGCATAGACTGCTTATTTCTCTCCCTCTGCTCCTCACACCACTCATGCTGTCCCCCCCAATATATAAATAAAATCTTTTTTAAAAACCATATAACATAAAATTTACCATCTTAGCCATTTTTAGGGGTAAAGATTAGTGTTAAGTTTATTCACATAGTGAAAAAGATCTTCAGAACTTTTTCTTCCTGCAAAACCAAAACTATACCTTTGTGTGTGTGTGTGTGTGTGTGTGTGTGTGTGTGTGTGTGAGAGAGAGAGAGAGAGAGAGAGAGAGACAGAGAGAGACTGGATTATTTCATTTATAAAAATGTCCTCAAAATTCTTCTCTTGTAACACGTGACAGAATTTCCTTCCTTTTTTATGGATACTGGATTGCTTATTTTTTGGTTATTGTAAATAATGGTGCCATAAACAGGGGTGTATATGAATATCTCTGATTCCCTGCTTTTGGGACCATTGCCTTAAGGCAGTGTTGTTAGCCTTGCTTATCTGTGCTGAAGTCTGTCAGGCACATGAATGAAAAGACTGTATAATGTGAAACCCTTTAAAAAGCAAAGCCACCGGCGCCTGGGTGGCTCAGTGGGTTAAGCCGCTGCCTTCGGCTCAGGCCATGATCCCAGGTCCTGGGTTCAAGCCCCACATCGGGCTTTCTGCTCAGCAGGGAGCCTGCTTCCTCCTCTCTCTCTGCCTGCCTCTCTGCCTACTTGTGATTTCTCTCTGTCAAATAAATAAATAAAATCTTAAAAAAAAAAAAAAGTAAAGCCACCAACTTTTCCCTGTAGTTTTTTGATATTCTGGCATTTCAGTAGATTATTTCTACTGTAATCATATGTACAAAAATGATTATCCCGTAAGGACAGTCATCTTGATTACTTTAGCATAATTCTGATAAATTGAAAAATTTTAAAGGGAAAATATAAGATATGAAGATAACTATTTCTAAAAGCTTAGGACCCATTTGAATTGAGAAAATGTCAAATATTCCATATCCTTGCACATTATTCTCTTGGCTATAGGGTAAAAATCAGAATTATCTTAGGTATCACCAATTTGGAGGTTTTTTTTAACCTTCTAAGAGTGAATTTTTTTTTTAAAGATTTTATTTATTTATTTGACAGAGAGATCACAAGTAGGCAGAGAGGCAGGCACAGAGAGAGGGAGGCAGGCTCCCCGCTGAGCAGAGAGCTCGATGCGGGGCTCAATCCCAGGACCCTGAGATCATGACCTGAGCTGAAGGCAGAGGCTTAACCCACTGAGCCACCCAGGCACCCCCTAAGTGTGAATTTTTTGACAGGGTAGGGGTCAGGAGCATGTAGGTTGCTCTTTTCCATTGTACTCCAGGATATACACAAAAGGTATCATGCCTTAATTTCAAGTTTTCTGAATAATCAAGTTGTGCTGGGAACCCATTCCAAATCCTTATTTCTATATTTGAAGGCTCTCATTTTTTCCCTGTGTTTTTCTTTTTCTTTTTTTTTAAATTTTATTTATTTATTTGACAGAGAGAGATCACAAGTAGACAGAGAGGCAGGCAGAGAGAGAGGAGGAAGCAGGCTCCCTGCCGAGCAGAGAGCCCAATGTGGGGCTTGATCCCAGGACCCTGGGATTTTGACCTGAGCCGAAGGCAGAGGCCTTAACCCACTGAGCCACCCAGGCGCCCCTCCCTGTGTTTTTCTTACTGGTATTTGTTTTTCTCCTTTTGATCCTGTTTGAAGGTACAATCACTGGTTTGACGGAACGGCTTTGCTTCACCAGTTCAAGATGGAGAAGGGCATGGTGACCTACAGAAGCAAGTTCCTGCAGAGTGATACATATAAGACCAATAGTGTTCATGACCGAATTGTGATCTCAGAATTTGGCACGCTGGCTCTCCCTGATCCGTGCAAGAATGTTTTTGAACGTTTCATGTCAAAATTTGAGCTGCCTGGTAAGCAGCCTTTATCATACCCAGAATTTGTGGGTGATAATGATGATTATTTAGTTATGATTTGCTTCAATCTATGTAAATACATACATTGAAATAGATTTTTTTTTTTTTTGTATGAGAGGATATTTAAACTGTGTTGTTGCTCTGATTGTGTGCTACAGTGCCTTGTGGTGTTTAACTCTGGGGTTTGGTTTCAGCAGTAACTGACAATACCAATGTCAACTATGTGCGGTACAAGGGTGACTACTATGTTAGCACTGAGACCAACTTTATGAATAAAGTGGACATTAAAACTCTGGAAAAAACAGAAAAGGTAAAATAAAGCCTAAAAAAATGAATAAAATAGACCCTAAAATTTCTTTTCTTTCAGAATGCTTCTTAGAGTAATATATCTGAAGAAGAAATTGAAGGGGCGCCTGGGTGGCTCAGGCAGTTAAGTGGCTGGCTCTTCCTGCACCGTGTCTGTCTTCGTGCTCAGTAGGGAGTCTGCTTCAGGATTCTCTTTTTCTCCCTCTGCCTCCCCCCTCAAAAATAAATAAATTCTTTTAAAAAGAGAGACAATTCTGGACTACTACTTCCTTAATCCTAATATCTGAAGGCTATGGTAAAGGAGAGATAGAATAGTACATATTTACTCTGGCCATTTCATGTTCTTCCTAGCTATAGGTAGAATTGGACTAGAGATTGTCTAGACCCATGCTGCATTCACTTAACACTTTAATTAAAAGTAAATAAAATTTTGGGGACACCTGGGTGGCTCAGTTGATTAAGCTGCTGCCTTTGGCTCAGATCATGATCCCAGGGTCCTGGGATCAAGTCCCGCATCAAGTTCCTTGACCAGTGGAAGCCTGCTTCTCTCTCTGCCTCTGCCTGCCATTCTGCCTGCTTGTGCTATCTCTCTCTCGCTCTCTGACAAATAAATAAATAAAATCTTTTAAAAAAAAAAGGTAAATAAAATTTGGACCAGAATTTTAATTTTAATTCTTTTTTTCCCTGGTTCATAGAGATCTTCAATTTTTTTTCATTTTATATATATATTTTTAATTTTTTATAATCATATAATGTATTATTAGCCCCAGGGGTACAGGTCTGTGTTAATTCTTATTTTTTAATTTTTTAAAAAAGATTTTATTTATTTATTTGACAAGCAGAGATTACAAGTAGGCAGAGAGGCAGACAGGGAGAGAGAGGAGGAAGCAGACTGTCTGCAGAGCAGAGAGCCCTATGCGGGGCTCGATCCCAGGAGCCTGGGATCATGACCTGAGCCGAAAGCAGAGGCTTTAACCCACTGAGCCACCCAGGTGCCCCTAATTCTTATTTTTTATACTTTCCTATGATCTTGATGAAAAAATCCGTATTGGATAATCTTTTTTGTCCATTTGTTGTTGGTGGTGGAGTTTTTTTGTTTGTTTATTACTTAGCTTCTTTAATAGGAAAAATAATTTTGAGTTTTTAGAGGTGAGATATTAGGGATTAAATTATAGTTTTCCTATTCCATTTTTAAAATATTTGGCACATTCCTAATGCCTATGGGTCTAAGTAGAGATCTGCTTATGTAACATTTAAAAGTCTTGATGGTCTTAAATTTGCAGGTAGACTGGAGCAAATTTATTGCTGTGAATGGAGCAACTGCACATCCTCATTATGACCCAGATGGAACAGCATACAACATGGGGAACTCGTATGGGCTGCATGGTAAAGTTGGAACAGAGGCCTTTTTAAAAATAATTAGAAGTCAACTATCTTCCCAGGGTTTCATTATGGTTAAATCTGTAAGCCTATAGGAACTTAGTTTGAAAGGTCCAGAAAGAAATCTCCAGACTGGTATAACTGAGCTTAAAGTCTATAATTTACTGTGTTCTGTGGTCCTTGTGCACATAAGCTTAGCAACTGATTTGCTGTTTGACCTTTTCAGCATGACTTACGTTTATATGTTCTATTGTGCTTTTCATCTCACAGGGGTTTTAGGGATTTCCAGTATGTATTTCTCAAACTTGAATTTCTTAAAAGAATCCTATTGTAAGTACAAAAAATATAGAATGCTGCAGCAAAGAGATATGGGGAAGGTACATTGTTTATTACATGGGAAGGAATTTATTTTTATCATGAGAGTAACACACTATGGAGTAGGTTAAGGTTATAGTGTGGTTGCATTTCCAACTGTTTATATCACATCTCTTTCCTCGTCATCCACATATTTTCCAGTTGCCTACCAATCTGCCCCAGAAAGTTCTAATAGCTAATAATGATAGCTAACATTTATTGAGTGTGAATATCTAGTGTACGTTGGTGTTAAGCATTTTTCCGTATATCTTGTCATTTAATCCTTATAACAACTCTCCAAGAAAGGTACTATTATTGCCTCCATTATAGAGACAATGGCAGTAAACCTTGAGAAGTTTTAGGATACTTGCTTAGGCAAGCTTCTAAGTGTGTAAGATGAATCTTGAGCCTGAATCACACCCAAAGTCACTTTGATAGACCATCTTAGTAATTATTCATTAATGAGTACGTTAGACTCTCAGAGCATGCAAATTCATGTTCCTGTAACCTGAGCACGTGTCTCTCTGTTTGAAAAGAAATGGGTCAGGTGCCTGGGTGCTCAGTTGGCTGAGCAACTGCCTTCGGCTCAGAGGTCATGATCCCAGAGTCTTAGGATCAAGTCCTGCATCAAGCTCCCTGCTCAGTGAGGAGTCTTCTTCTCCCTCTGACCCTCTTCCTTCCCATGCTCTCTCTCACTCTCTCTCTCAAATAAATAAATAAAATCTTGAAAAAACAAAAGAGAAATGGGTAGGTGTTAGATATTTCTATCTGTCTTAGCTGTCAATCTATCATCTATAACCTGTGAAACCTCTGTAGAGCTTAACTTTTGTGTAGGTTAATTTATAGTTTTGGTGAGTGAGTGTTGGCTTTCTGCAGTTGTTGGTCTCTACCTCTCGTATTTACACATGTGATGAATGTTATAATGAATACTGCAGGTTTATTTTTTACTGGCTCAAGGTATCCTGAAACTTCGTCACTCAGGTTTCTCTCTCATCTTTCTAACCTGATCTAGGATAGGGTTTTATCCTTCAAAGCTGTTATAGTACACAGCAAACACCCTTTTAGGTAAAATGTTTCAGCAAATGGGTAAACTGACTCAGCAGTTTTTTTTTGTCCATCCATCCATTTTGATCATTAAAAAAAGATTCCTTTTTAAAATTGTGTCTGCTCTCTATACTTTTTTGGTCTGTTTTTTCTTCCCTTAGCAACGTATTAAGATACTATAGTTAATTATTTCTTGTGTCAAGAAACATTTTGCCGAACCGGCTGCATAGAATTCTCCTAAGTAGGTGTACCTATCTTTTTAAAAACTATTTACTTGTTAATATGGTTGACAAAAAATATATTTCATAATAAATTGACTCTATTAATCAAGTAGATAACTTTGTAACTAGTTCATAATATGATAAAAACTGACCATTCTGAATTACATATTCTAAAATAAGTAGTCATGAGACCAGCGGTTCTTAGCCTTTAGTGTGGCTAAGAATGTTCTGGAACACTTCTAGCAGTATAGATTACAGGGCTTTATCTTCAGAGATTTTGGTTCAGTAGACCTGAAATGGGGCCAAGAATCTGCATTTTAACCACCCCCTTATGCCTAATCTTGGCACCTGTGAACAAGGTCTCAGGTGATTTTGGTGTAAGTGACTCCTGGATCTTTGAGAAACCCTGCCCCCAGTCATCAGAGGCTGTCTTGTTAATTTGCCTCAATTTGCTATTACACAAAGTCCTGAAGAGTCTTCCAGAGTTAGACTCACGGTATTGGGGAGGTAATTTTTCTGGGCTTTCCTTTGCGGAGGATGTTTCCTGGGTATCTGTCTGCCTTGCTTAGGGCTTCACAACTTGTGGTTAGAACAGTTCATTAACTAAGAGTGGTTAAATTTAGTGAATTGAGTCTTGTCACTTAATCCAGCTTCTGAGATGGGCAGCTCTTCTATCATCTCCTAACCTTAACTGAAACTGAATTTTCTTTCCTCTTCCCTCTTCTCCTCCTCCTTTTTACTTGATGATTTAGTCCAGTGAGGAGTTTTTGAACTGGAACTCAAATGTACATGTACCTGCAGGGAACTTCAATACCTAAGTTGTATTTGGAGGAAATGTAGTTATTCTCATAGTAAAGTGCTTGCCAGTAATTTCTATGGTTAAGAAGTAAAAAGCTTTTAATTGTTTTAGCCTTTCCATATATTTTTAAAGGACTTTTAAAAATGAACAAAAATCCTCTAAACATTAATCAATTCAGCTAGTTTTTAGTACTAATTAAATATATGTAATCAGTTAGATGGTAATATGATACTCTTGAACTGTAGAGCTTGTCTTTTATCACTTTTATAACTCATCACTGTTTATATATCATGAGTGCTCAGAACACATCCATATCCCCAACTCACACCTCTCCAGTATTTTATATCCAGTTGCTTACTTGGTGTTTTTAACAAGATGTCTAATAGGCATTACAAAATTAATTTATCTAAAAACCAGACTTCTGAAATTGTTCCCTAGATTTTTTTTCTGCTTAAAGTATTCCCCATCTCAGTTGATTTTTCATCCTTCCAGTTGCTCAGGATAATTTTGGAATCATCCTTCCCACCTGTCTCTCTCACATCTGTATCTAGTTAGTCAAAAAGCAATTGCAGCAGTGCCTTCAAAATAAATAAAAAATCCATCCACTTCATATGACCTCTGCTGCTGGCACTCTGGTGTAAGCCCACCATCCTCTCTCATGTGAATTGTTGTAATAGCTTCTTAACGGGTCTCCGTGCTTCTGTCCTGCGTCAGCTCACGCTCAGCGTATCAGCTAGTTATCCTTTTAACCCACCCACCTTGTCTCCTTAGATTCTTCTCCTTGTTTACTACAACAGGGCCACACTGGCCTCCCTACTGTTATTTGAACACTCCAGACTTACTCTTGGCTGAGAATCTTTGCATTTACTCTTCTCTCTGCCTGGAATGTGATTCTCCAGGTGTCCTCAAGGCTCTCTTTCTCACCTCCTCCTGGTCTTTCCTCAAATGTCACCTTCTTGGTGAAGCCTTCTCAGATCACCATATCGAAAATTGCAAAGAGTGGCCTCCATCTTACTCCTAATCCCAGTTCCCTGTTTTATTTTTCTTTGTAGTTCTTATCATCATCTCATACTTTATATTTTTACTTATGAATGCTTTATTTGGGCTTCATCAGAGAAGAGCCTTTTGTATATTTGCATACTGCTGTTTAGAACTGTCTGGAAGATAAACTTAGGACACTCATAAGAATGCCTGGAATGTAGTTGGCACTCAATAAGTTGTTGCTGAACAAATGAGTAGAGAACTGTATGGTTATTTTGTTCCAAAAGAAGCTCAGTGATTGCAAATTTCTGTAGGCTATTGATCCAGTTTTTCAGGACCAGCATTGGCAATTTTAATACCAGAAATATAATTTGAGGTGATCTCAGTATTTGTTTATTCATTGAATTACTTTATTTTTTTATTTTTTTAAAGATTTTATTTATTTATTTGTCAGAGAGAGCGAGCGAGCACAGGCAGACAGAGTGGCAGGCAGAGGCAGAGGGAGAAGCAGGCTCCCCACAGAGCAAGGAGCCCGATGTGGGACTCGATCCCAGGACGCTGGGATCGTGACCTGAGCCGAAGGCAGCTGCCCAACCAACAGCCACCCAGGAGTCCCTCATCGAATTACTTTAAAAAATGTTGTTAATTAACCTGTCAATAGCTATTTGTACTGTGCCTATTGCTTGGTACTGAGGTTGTAAAGAGGAATCCGTTTCTGCCCTTGAAGAACTCACCAGTGTACTGGAAAGGAGATAAACAAGCACAAAATTATAGTTCAGTAAGATAAGTACTGTAGCTGTATAGGATATAATCAAGGCATAGAGGAGGGGCACCAAATACCTTTGGGGTAGAGAAGACTCGGAGTGCTGTTTGAGGAGTGGTTGCCTGAGCTGATTCTTGATGAAGCAGTAAGATGAACGATTACATGAATGAAGGTGATTGCATGAATGCATTGATGAGAAAGCATGAGACAGGACTTGGAGAGACCCCAGGGATCCAGAGGACTGGAGAGAAGAAGGGGGTGTGGGGGCACATGGAGACTGTAGTTGTAGCGATGTGGGAGTGGAGAGGGGACAAGTAGAATTTGAGGATTCCTGGCTGGTACCTAATCTTTTGCTGTAGAGAATGAGTTCATCTTCAGGGAGTGAGAGGGTAACCTTTTGAGAGCATTAAAATGCAATAAACGTAGCTACTAATCATGAAAAAAAATACAATAAACTGTTGGTTGATTACTTGGTGTGTATTGCTTTAAAACATCCCCTGATGTGACTTTCATAAAATTAGTATTTTTTTTAATCCAAGACTTTGTTTGAAACAACCTTTTATGAAATATGGATATCAGGCATATGTTGTATAAATCTCTTAACTGCTTTTGTGTAGTCCATGAGCACGAGGGTTGTCTTTTATTCTAGAATGTGTGTAAAACAAGACAGGACTCTGTTTTCCAGGTTCTTGCTATAATGTTATTCGGGTTCCTCCAGAGAAGGTGGATCTTGGGGAGACAATCCACGGAGCCCAGGTGATATGCTCTATTGCCTCTGCAGAGAGGATGAAACCTTCTTACTACCATAGCTTTGGTAAGGCCAGAGATAAGGTAAATTACAGTGGCATCTGCCTTAACGTCGGTGTAGCAGAAGAACTGTTTTGGGCAAATACTATGTCTATATGGCTTCTCAAAGTATTCTGATAATGAGACCAAGGCTGCATTTTAATGCCAGTGAAGTTTATTCTGTTTAGTCGCATACTTCTTATCCTGGGCAAATGACTGCTTAAAAAGACATATTTATTTTAGTACTAGCAATTATTTAAAAATTGACAACATCAAGAGTGAACCATAATGTAAACTATGGACTTTGAGTGCTTCTGATGTGTCCTTATGGGTTCATCAGGTGTAGCAAATGTACCAACCATTGTGGTTGGGGGTGTCAATAATAGGGAGGCTCTGCATGTCTGGGGACAGAGGGTATATGACAGGCCTCTGTACCTTCCCTTTAATTTTGTTACAAAACTAAAACTACTCTAAAAAAGGTAAAGTCTTAATTTAAAAAAATCATTTGACCATAAAAAATTGACACAATTCAAAATTTAGGTAACTTTAAGCCACAGGTAATAATCATCCATGAAAAAGTCTTGATTATATTTCTTGGGAGAAATTTTTATTCTGTTCCTTTGCTTTAGCTCTTTCTTGGAATATTTATTTTCTACATTCTAAACTTTTATAGCCAATCTCCTCCTACATCCTTACCTTCAGTATAAATAGCAAATGGAATACAGAATAAACACCTCGATCGCAAATGACACTTTAATATTATGCTTCTTTACTTTGTTCCAAAATAATTTGAAAAGAAAACCAAGAAAGATAAAAAGCAAGCTGAGGGCATTCACTCCAAGCTGTTCTAAACAGTTCTCTTTTTTATGTAGGAACAGGAAATATGTAAAGCAAAGCTGGGAAATAGCGAAGGATTATTTCTGGCTGGCTTTTGCTTAGGTCAGCAGTACTATGTCCAGACATTCAGATAAGTCCCCGTAACTGTCACATTTCAGAGAACTCTTAATTGCCAGATAACGTGTTATTATTTGCCGGAACCTTTTAGGAATGACAAGGAACTATATAATCTTCATTGAACAGCCTCTAAAGATGAATCTGTGGAAAATGATCACTTCTAGAATTCGGGGAAAGGCCTTTTCAGATGGAATAAGCTGGGAACCGCAGTATAACACACGGTTTCATGTGGTGGATAAGAACACTGGACAGGTGGAGTATTTTGAGTATATTCATCATGAAAATGATTGGACATAAAGACACATTTTCCTGTGGTTTTTACCTTCCCTGGGCATTGCTTGTGCAAGACTCTCTTAATCAAGGATATTACCTTCTTCCGTAGAGTAGGTATGGCTAGCTCACTTATTAGTTAATACAGTGAGTTCTGCATATTAGAAAGTTGTAAGAAATGGTTTTATACTTTTAATTATCTGCCTTAACTAAAGTGGCATGTAGGAAACCTTCGCATTTTAGCATGGATTTTTCCATATCGTGTATTTGCTAAGGAGAATGTTGTTCATGCAGAGGTCCTATGACTTTTGCACTGTTACTTTAATTGCTTACTTCTGTGGCTTCTTGATATGTAAATGTGATAATCCTACCAAAGTCCAGGACGTGTTGGTTAAATGCCTTTCTATACTTCTGGTTAGTAGTTCTATTATATTTGTCTTCTTTTAGTCTTTTTAAAGAGATAATATCCTAAATTTACTGTACCCTAATTTCATTACAACAGTCCTATTTTTGGTAATGAGTGCATTTTTTCAAAGCGTTTATCATAAGCTAATTAGTAGCAGTATTTTCTATTTAATCATATAAGATAGACTCCAGGATTTATTTATCCCTCAAAACATTGGGCCATACTTCATCAGGACTTTTAAGTTTGTTGTAACCGTTGATTGGTTTGCATCAGATAGCCCAGTTCATTGTTTAATAGGCGACGTGACAGCTAAACAAGGATGCTTAAATCAAAATGTCTTTCTACATTCCAAATTCTACTTTTTACACTTACTAGGCCTGTCATTTAAAGGGGAGGGAATCTTTTTAATTTAAACTTTGTGGATCTGTCCCCTAAAAATAAAATAAAATAAAAAACAAAATATATCTTTTTCACTGTATTCTCCCCTGCAGCTGCTTCCAGGAATGTACTACAGTAAACCTTTTGTTACTTTTCATCAAATCAATGCCTTTGAGGACCAGGGCTGTGTTGTACTTGATTTGTGCTGTCAAGATGATGGAAGAAGCCTGGAAGCTTACCGACTACAGAATCTCAGGAAAGCTGGGGCAGGGCTTGATCAGGTAAACATCTCTGATTTGTCAGGTTCTGGTTGGCTTTGGAATTAGCTGTTTCTCTTGCTTCTTTGGCAGATAAGGAGAATGGTTTTGATGCATTGAAGACACAGCTTTATCGTTTACTTATTTAATACTTAAAAATAATTTGAAGTACTTACTTAATACCTAATAAATAAAAAGTATAGTAAAGAAAACCAAGAGATGGATCGCAGACAATCTAAGAACTCTGGACCCTGTACCTCTGCCATATTCCCAATTTATACACTACTGTTGTTGTATATTTTATTTTTCTCTCTATTAAACCCTGCAAAGGCAGTATTGCTTTATGTGATCATGGTTCCCCATACTACCCATTTACCCACATCTGTACCTTTCAATTGCTCTTAATTCATCCCTGTCTTGTGAGCTTCCATGTGGAATCATTTTCTTCCTGACAGAAGAATATTTTTTAGTATTTCCTTTAGTTCAGATATGCTGCTGATGAAATCTATATTTTTGCCTGTTAAAAAAGTCTTTATTTTACCTTATTTCTTGAAGGATGTTTTCGTTGGATAAAGAATTTTAAGTTGTTAGTTATTTTCTTTTGACACTTAGATATTTGATTGTATTCTGATTTCTATTGAGAAATTAGTAGTCAGTCTAAGCTTTGCTCCTTTGAAGTTGATCATTTTTCCTCCTCTGATTTTAAAATCTTCTCTTTGATTTTCTGTAGTTAGTCCTATGGTATCTCTCAATATGGCTTTCTTTTTGTTTATTTTATGTGCATGTTTTTAGGAATACTTGAATCTATGGTTTGATGTCTTTCATTCATTTTAAAAAAGTCACCTATTATTTCTTCAGATATTACATTTGGGAAATCCTTTCTCTTCTGCCTGGGACTACAGTATACATATGTCACTCCTTTTCACTCTGTCCATCTGTTGCTTATGTTCTGTTTAGTATTTACCATCCTTGTGTCTCTCTAGGCATCTCGTTTTGGATATTTTCTTATCTATCTTACAGTTCATTCTTTCTTCAGCTTTGTCTTTTCTGCTATTAAACCCTGCTACTAAGTTCTTAAATAAACACTTTGCATTTTTCAGTTCTAGAATTTTAATTTGGTTCTCTTTTATAATTTCTAGTTCTCTGCTACATGCTCAGTTTAAGAGGATTTCCTCCAACATATTCAGAATACTTAAAGTCTGATAGCTTCTATTATCTGGATCCCTTGTGGCTTTGTTTCTGTTGTTTGTTATCTTGTTTTTTTTTTTTTTTTTTTTATCATGCTCTCTCGTCTTTTCATGTACTCGCTTATTTTTATTGCATACAGAATATTGTGTTTGAAAAATTGTAGAGATATTTTGAGATCCAGGATGGTATTATGTTCCTCCAGAGAAAATTTTATTTGCTTCTGGCAGATTGCTAGAGTTAATGATCAGTTCCAGATAGTCTTCAATGTAGTTACAGGGATTGAAATATTGTGAAGCAGGGTATAGTCCCTGAAAGAGATGGACTATTCCTTGTTTATTCTTACTCTTAGGTGCTGACTTAAGGGGTCCTGACCCAAAGAACTAGGGGTTTATCAGGGCTTCTTCTCCTTTTTGGCAGTCATTGAACTCCTCCTTTTGTCCCTCTAGTTCACCAAAAGTATCAAAATCTCTACCTACTGGGGTCAAGTGGTAGGGGAGTTACCTTTAAAAATTATCTTTAAAAATAGGTAGCATGAAGGATCTTGGTGGTGATTTTATATCTTGAGTGTGGTGGTGATCACATGCATTTACATGATAAAATTGTATGGAACTAAATACACACACACACACACGAGTGTGTGTTGAACTGGTGAAATCTGAATAAAATTGGTGGATTATATTTTTTTTTTTTTTTTTTTAGATTTTTATTTATTTATTTGATAGAGAGAGATCACAAGTAGACGGAGAGGCAGGCAGAGAGAGAGAGAGAGGGAAGCAGGCTCCCCGCTGAGCAGAGAGCCCGATGCGGGACTCGATCCCAGGACCCTGAGATCATGACCTGAGCCGAAGGCAGCGGCTTAACCCACTGAGCCACCCAGGCGCCCCTAAAATTGGTGGATTATATTAATGTAAATTTTCCAGTTGTGATATTGTACTGTAGTTATGCAAGATATTATCATTGGTGATCCCTCTGCATTATTTCTTCTTTCTTTTTTTTTTTTAAAGATTTTATTTATTTATTTATTTGACAGGCAGAGATCACAAGTAGGCAGAGAGGCAGGTAGAGAGAGGGGGAAGCAGGCTCCCCGCTGAGCAGAGAGCCCAATGCGGGGCTAGATCCCAGGACCCTGAGATCATGAGCCGAAGGCAGAGGCTTTAACCCACTGAGCCACCCAGGCACCCCATTATTTCTTTTTTTATGTGATAAAATATGCATAACATAAAAATTACCATTTCAACCAGTTTTTAGGTGTTCCATGGCATTTGTACATGAACAGTATTGTGCAGCCGTACCACTGTCCATTTCTAGATTTCTTCATCATCTCTAACAGAAACTCTACCCATTAAATAATAAGTCTCTATTCCCTCCTCTCTCCAGACTTTGGGAACCTCTATTCTACTTTCTGTTTCTATGCATTTGCCTACTCTGGGTACCTAATATGAATGGAATCAGATAAGATTTATTTTTTGTGTGTTGGCTTATTTTATTTAGTGTAATCCTTTCGAGGGTCATCCATGTTGTAATATGTATCAGAATCTCATTCCTGTTAAAGTTAAGTATTTCCTTGTATATCTGTATTACATTTTCTTTATTCATCTGTTAGTCGACATTTGGGTTGTTTTTTACCTTTTGACTATTGTGAATAATGCTGTTATGAACGTTGGCATACAAATATCTATTCGAGTCCCTGTTTTGAATTCTTTTTGTATACCTGAAGTGGAGTTGCTGGATCCTATGATAATTCTATATCTAACTGTTTTGAGGAACTGCAGACTATTGTCCACAGCAGCTACGCCTTGCACAGGGGTCCAGTTTCTTCACAGTCTTACCAGCACTTGTCATTTTTGTTTTCGATTCTGTTTTTGTTTTGTTTTGTTTTTGACAATAGCCGCCCTAGTGAGGGTGAAGTAGTATCTCGTGGTTATTTATTTATTTATTTAAGATTATTTATTTATTTATTTGAGAGAGAAAGAGAGCATGAGTGGAGAAAGGTCAGTGGGAGAAGCAGACTCCCCACTGAGCAGGGAGCCCGAAGCGGGACTGGATCCTAGGACTCCAGGATCATGACCTGAGTCGAAGGCAGTTGCTTAACCAACTGAGCCACCCAGGTGCCCTCGTTGTGGTTTTGATTTGTATTTCTCTAAGGACTAATGATGTTTAGGATCTTTTCATGTACCTATTGGCCATTTGTATATTTTTGGCGAAATGTTTCTTCTAGTTCTTGCCCATTTTTAAATCAATTGTTTATTTTTCTGCATTATTTCATGCCAATCTGCAGTGATCTGAAGATTAAAAAGTTTAATTAAAAAATTCTTTCATTTTCTCAACCTTTCAGCTGCCTTTTCCTGGAAGCAGCTGATATCCTGAGGGAACAAATTTCCCCCAATATCTTGTTTACCTGTGGTTTTCCTTCTCCCTCCAAATCTCTGCCCTACTGATAATCTTCACTGCCTTTTTAGCTCACCAGTGCCTTTGCACAGCTGTTCTAAACATTTGTTCAGCTTCTTTAGCTATCCTCAGTGGGATAGTTGATCCACATTACCTAATTCACCATTATTGGCAGTCTCTTTTTGTTTAGCTATGGTTTTACAAAAGGAAAAGAAAAATTAAATAAATTTAAAATTAATTTTAAAAACTCTAACTCTTTGTGAGGCTTAAAAATAGCACTAAATCGGGACGCCTGGGTGGCTCGGTTGGTTGGGCGGCTCCCTTCGGCTCGGGTCATGATCCCAGTGTCCTGGGATCAAGTCCCACATCGGGCTCCTTGCTCAGCGGGGAGCCTGCTTCTCCCTCTGCCTCTGCCTGCCATTCTTGCTCTGTCTGCCTGTGCTTGCTCTCTCTCCCTCTCTCTCTCTCTCTCTGACAAATAAATAAATAAAATCTTTAAAAAAAAAAAATAGCACTAAATCTGGGTGCCTGGGTGGCTTAGTGGGCTAAGCCTCTGCCTTCAACTCAGGTCACGATCTCAGGGTCCTGGGATCGAGCCCTGCATCAGGTGTTCTCGGTAGAAATACTTTTGTGTGAGATGGAGATGATATGGACCAGGTGTGTGAGGGGAAGTGGCACAGTTTGCCCTCATCTTACAGTATTTCAAGAGAGGAAAACATGTGTAAAGCATTCTCAATGTCAGAAAAAAACAAAACAAACACTTATTTTATTAGAGTCTCCTGCTTAAACATGACCTCTGCAGGAAGGTTGTGCTGGGGGTCCTCAGAGCCACCTTTGGTTTGACGATTCACTAGGATGGTTCACAGGCTTAGAAAAAGCAGCAAATGAAAAGGTGCATGGGATGAAGTCTAGAGAAAACCATCCAGTACGCCCTTCCAAGTCCTTTCCAGTGGAGTCACACAGGACACGCCCGATTTCTCTACGTACTTGTGATAACCTATGTGAAATGTTGCGTGCCAGGGAAGCTGATTGTCCAGGGTTTTGTTGGGGATCAGCATATGGGCACAAAGCCCCTACACACCCTCAGTTATCAAAGCTCCATACGCCCACAGGCCAGCAGTGTTCCTTATAAATCACACTATTATTATAAACTGTCTGGACAAACTAGTACAGTGTGACTCAAGACCTCAGGCATGCAAAACCACTCTTGGGAGACAGAACATTCCAAGGGCTCAGTTCTCAGGTGTCAGCCAAGGACCAATCGTGAAAACAGACCTTTCTTGAGAATGTGCCACATTTTAGCAACCCAGTCCTATTAAGTTGATGCTTTTCCATGCAGAGATATATTATGACTAAACATGAAGAGAGAAGCACTCTGTTACTCTGTAGGCTCTCACCCTGCAGTATGTTTCTTACCGGTACTTATTACTGTCAGACCTTGGGCTATGTAATCATTTGTTTATTTGACACTAATTCAATAATATGTATTTTAATTTTTATTTATTATCATCCATTCTCCACTAGAATGTGAGTTCCATGAAGCCAAAGACTTTGTTCACTGTTGCATTCCCAGAGTCTAAAATGGTGCTTTGGGGGCGCCTGGGTGGCTCAGTGGGTTAAAGCTTCTGCCTTCAGCTCAGGTCATGATCTCAGGGTCCTGAGATCGAGCCCCGCATCGGGCTCTCTGCTCAGCGGAGAGCCTGCTTCCCTCTCTCTCTCTCTCTGCCTGCCTCTTTGCCTACCTGTGATCTCTGTCTGTCAAATAAATAAATAAAATCTTAAAATGGTGCTTTGCCTATCATAGGTACTCAACAGGTATTTGTGGAATAAATGAATAAATGAAAGTTTATCACTTTTGCAATTACTTAGGAATGCCAATAAAGTTGACTGGGTATAAATTATTGGGACATGCTGTTATCCCATGAATGACATTTTTTCATCTATTTCTTTGTCTCTCCTAAACAGGTCTATAATTCAGTAGGCAGATCTTTCCCTCGGCGGTTTGTTTTGCCCTTACATGTCAGTTTGAATGACCCTGAAGGAGAGAACCTCAGCCCATTGTCCTATTCTTCAGCTAGTGCTGTGAAACAAGCTGATGGAAAGGTAGGCTTTGAAAGACATTAGATGGACTTTGAATTTTAGTCATGTTACTTTATTCCTTGGCTGTTCTCCACAATGTTTGGTGCCCAGTAAATCTGAAACCATTCAGCTGAGCAGGGTAAGGTCACAAGAACTGCAGGGTAAGAACGGGGCAAGGTCACAGTGGGAGGGAGCACTGTGTTTACCTTCCTTTTTATGTTTTCAAACAGATAGCTGCAGTTTTCTAATGTTGTGTAAGTATTTGAGATCGGTATTGATTATCTTCACCTTTTAGGTAATTTGCACTTACCATACACATGTTACTGTGTAGCTCTCAGTGTTTCAGCTTTAGTAGAATAAAAAGTCCACTTGCCCCTTGTATGGCATCTGACAGCTTAGTCACAAAACCTGATGATCTTTTTTTTTTTTTTTTTTTTTTTTGAGAAAGAAAGTACATGTGGGCAAATAGGGGGTGCAGAGGGATAGAAATCTTTTTTTTTTTTTTTTTTTAGTTAACATATACTATATTAGTTTCAGAGATAAAGATAAGGGATTTATCAATTGCATATAACACCCAGTGCTCATTACATCATGTGCCCCCCTTCATGTCCATCACCCAGTTACTTCATCCCCCCAACTCACCTCCCTACCAGCAACCCTCAGTTTGTTCCCTATAGTTAGGAAACTCATATAGCTGGTCTACCTCTCTGATTTCATCTTATTTTATTTTTCCTTCCCTTCCCCTATGACTCTCTGTTTTGTTTCTTAAATTCCACATATGAGTGAAATCATATAGTATTTGTCTTTCCCTGACTGACTTATTTCATTTAGCGTAATACCCTCTAGTTCCATCTGCATCATTGTAATGGCAGGATTTCATTCTTTTGATGGCTAAGTAATATTCCGTTGTATACACACACACACATTTACCACATTCTTCTTTATCCATTCACCTGTTGATGGACATCTTGGCTCTTTCCATAGTTTGGCTGTTGTGGACATTGTTGCTATAAACATTGCAGTGCATGTACTCCTTTGAAGGGGTACATACTATGTTTGTATCCTTTGGACAAATACCTAGTAGTACAGTTGCTGGGTTATAGTATAAGCTCTATTTTTAACTTTTTGAGGAACCGCCATACTGTTTCTTAGAGTGGTTGCACCAGTTTGCATTCCACCAACAGTGTAAGAGGTTCCCCTTGGGGAGAATCTTAAGCAGGCTCCACACTCATTGCAGAGCCTGACGTGGTGCTCGTCAGGCTGAGATCATGACCTGAGACAAAATCAAGAGTCGGATGCTTAACTGACTGAGCCACCCAGGTGCCCCAAAACCTGATAGTCTTTTATGCATTCATACATACGATGGAAAGAGGAACAGTGGGAAAAACATGACTTAGAGTCTGAGTTCCCAAGCCCTGTCACAAACTCTCAGCACCTTCACTGACCTACCCTGCATAAAATAAGTGAGAAAGTAAGCAATTACTCCAAATCTTTTTGGGACCCCTTTTAGATTTGGTGCTCTTATGAAAATCTACATCCTGAGGATCTAGAGGAGGAAGGAGGTGTTGAATTTCCCCAGATCAACTATGGCCAATTCAGTGGCAAAAAGTACCGTTTCTTCTATGGCTGCGGCTTTCGGCATTTAGTGGGGGATTCTCTGATCAAGCTTGATGTGGTGAATAAGACACTGACGGTAATGAAAATCTTTTTCCCTTTCTGAACTCTTTTTAAAAAAAAATATTTATTTGAGAGAGACTGAGAGAGCATGAGTGGGCTGGGGAGGGGGAGAGGGAGAGGGAGAAGCAGACTCTTGCTGAGCAGAGAGCCCCACCCAGGACCCTGAGATCATGACCTGAGCTAAAGGTAGATGCTTAACCGACTGAGCCCCCCAGGTGCCCCTTCCTTTCTGAATTTTTTAAAGACCTGTTCTGCAGTTTGAATTAGTTTCTGTTTTGTTAAAGTAGCTCTTGAGATTCTTTAATATTTAGGCAGCTCAGCCATTTACTTTAAGTTTGAGAACCATGGAATCACCTAGGCAAGGGGTATATGCTGTCTTGGGAATCTTAAATGAATCACAAGCCCAGAAAAACAAGTCTCTGCTTGGTGTTATTTTTAGAGAAATCGTGGGGTTCAGGTTATTGGGACACTTATATTTCAGGTCTGTGGGAAATTATAATTGCACAAATTGTGTTTGGTGGTGATGGAGTCTGCAGCTGCAAAAACACCCCCACCCCCCAATTCAGTGAGCCTGATTCTCTAACTGTTAGAATATTGTACTGACCCATATTCATGTTGAAGTGACAAAAGCCATAGAAACCTTCCTGCTCATAATTAACTTTCTATCAAATACTTTTTTGGGGGTACTTCTAGATTTGGAGAGAAGATGGCTTTTACCCATCGGAACCTGTGTTTGTTCCTGCGCCAGGAACCAGTGAAGAAGATGGTGGGGTTATTCTCTCTGTGGTGATCACCCCCGACCAGGTAGATGTGTTTCCCCATCACTAGTCAAAGAGGTAGCAATGAGCCTTCTGAGGATTTTATTCAGTGATGCTGTCAGTTTTTTATTCCAATGCAGCACGTTTTCCCTTTTCTTCCTCTCCTCATATGTACATACTCTTTTATTATAATCTGTGCCATATTATTTAAGGTTCCATTTATAGAATCATCCTCATAATATACATTTGCACAGAAATTCATTTACAGACGACTTTCACATGTCACCTTATTTACTCATCAGAACAGCTTTGTTAGATACCATTTTATGGATGTGGAATTTGTAACTTAGAGAAGTTGGGAGAGCTGGTGTCAGATCTCATAATGGTAAAGCCTGTGTTTAAATCTCAGTCTTCTGATGTCTAGTCTGATGTTCATGCCACCGTCTGTGCTGCCAGTTTCATCTGAGTGCCCCAAAAGTCTTATGTGGTGAGCCCTGGTGTCTCAGTCATTGATGTCTTAACTTCTTGTCGAAGGCAGTCTTGTGGCAAGTAGGTTGAGTACCAGCTTTGTGGCTGGTTGAGTACCAGTTATTAGCAGCTGCCTGGGGTGTAGCATTCTGAGGCTTTTTAAGGGTTTGATGAGAAAAGTGCCATGATCGATTACTAATATCTGTCATGGGCTTAGGAGGACTTTGTCCTCATACCATGTACTTGCCACTCCTATAATTACACCAGGGCAAATATCAGTCTGCCTTGTAATGCTACCCTTTGTACAGCTCCAAAGTAACACAAAATGGAAGCATTTCTAATTTGGAAGAAAAAATTTCTGTGTCTCTTAGGAGATTGAAAAGGGGCAGGTAAGAAGATCCTTAAACTCCAAGAGATTCTAGGAAGGTAACTAATATAAACAACTTAATTTCTTCACTCTAAGTATGAACTTCTTTGCCATAATGTCCTTCTGAGGCTTGTCTGGCCATTCAGCAAACATTTAGTGAATGAATGGATAGTCAAGTCACAGTGTTAGGTGCTGAGGATACAGAGGAAGAGGCATAAGACACGATCAAAAGAATTTTCAGTATTGTCTTTCTGTTCTAGAATGAAAACAATTTTCTCCTAGTCTTGGATGCCAAGAACTTTGAAGAACTGGGCCGAGCAGAAGTGCCTGTGCGAATGCCTTATGGGTTCCATGGTACCTTTGTAACAGTCTGATGGAACAACTCGGAACACCTGGAAACTTGCTTTCCTTCCAAACCATAGACACCCAGTTTTAAAATTTCTATTAAAAACAGGATTCTTGTGGGGCGCCTGGGTGGCTCAGTGGGTTGAGCCTCTGCCTTCGGCTCGTGTCATGATCTCAGGGTCCTGGGATTGAGCCCCAAGTTGGGCTCTCTGCTCAGCGGGGAGCCTGCTCCCCCCTGTCTCTCTGCCTGCCTCTCTGCCTACTTGTGATCTCTCTCTCTGTGTCAAATAAATAAAAATCTTTAAAAGACAAAACAAAAACAGAATTCTTGAGATAATAATGGTTTTATAGTTTCTTAGAGCTCTTTCTTAAAAACATTAAGCAAGTGTTGATACAACCTTTTGAAGAGAGTTTTAAATTTATATTTACTAGATAGATCTTCCACTAGATAATAAGAATACATGAAAGGAAAGATAGAGCTTTGTCATTACTACCACCAGATAGCGTGGGTGACAGAGGTCCTCACACTTGAGAGGAAAAAATACAAATAATCGTAGATAGTAAAATATGAGCTCTAAAAAGCACCTTGTTTTTTCTGTCACAGCCTGCCTATTAGCACGGGTTCTAGGGCTCACAGAGGGGGAAGCCAGCTGTGTCAGGCTTAGAGGCTTTCTTCCAAACTGGTTTTCCGCTGTCCACAGGACACAGCAGCAGTTCAACCACCGACTGCCATCTTTTGCCCTGCCCCTAGCTAAGCCTTAGGAAGGTGTTGTTTTGTGGAACGTCACTAAAATCAGGCATTTCTTCTAATCTCCATGTGTATAGTTCTCCAGAAACTGGTAAGTCAGTAGTTCTTCATTCAGTTGGGCAACAGGTGGCACTAGAGGCCATATAATCTCCCCATTTCTAACCACCCCATGCCCAGTTTTACCAACAGCCCAAATCCCCCTACATCTGTCACTTAAACCACACTCTTGCCAACAACTTCAAGATCTCATGTTCCCTTTTCCTTCAGTTATACTTCCTCCCTCTGCTTAACTCCAGCCTGGGGCCAGTTAAGCCTCCTAGATGCCTAGTTTGGGGCATCTGTGAACTCACGGTTAGGCTCATGCACAGCCCCAGACCAGCATAGCCAGTTTCTTCCCAGTATCTTCAGGAGTTATTACAGACGTCATAAACCCTGTCCTTTTCACTGAAGTGTTCCCGCAGGTACAAAAATGCCACAGGTAATGGCTTATATTGTGGCAATAAAGTGAAAGTTCTAAGTTTTGTGGCTGGCTTGATGAAACACAGAACAAAAACAACAGGTACCAGAATGACGGGAAGATGCCTAAATACAGCTAATACACCAGATGTGGGAGCTTTGAGGCTGAAGTCATTGTAAGAGAACATAAATATATCTCACAGAAATCCTCAAAAAGACATTGTACTCCCCCAGACCAGACATGGAAGGTTGATTTAGATCTTATCTGGATCTAAAGGGTGGAGGAGATTCTAGCTGACTTCTGTGAAGTATGCAGAGCTGATAACGTCTTTCCTCTATAAATTCCATCCTAATCACGGGGAGTGAAGTTCAAACATATAAAGGTAAGCGGTATAATTAAAAGATTTTGGCCCATGGATGACCAGATTCTGCTGAGGTTCTTGAAGGAGAAGACAAAAAAGAATCAATAGTATTTTGTAGTATGCCTATGCCTGGTAATCCAGTGCAGAGAGTTCTAGTAAAATTGAGTGAGCATATGACTAAGTTTCAAAGCCTGGGCAGGGCCTCTTCCTGTCCCTAAGCCCAGCTCATAACTCATCAGTGTCCAGAGACTTAAGGAAAGGGAGTATGTGGTGCATAAGGAAAGGAGAAAGGGACTAGGGCTTCTTGTGACTTTCTCTTAACTAATAACATCTGCAAAAACCCTATTCCAAATAGAGTCACATTTTGAGGTACTGGGGGGCCCAACACATTAATTTGGGGGGACATAGCTGAATCCATAAAGGACCACTGAGGGTAAATTAGGTAAGTATCCTTAATAAAAACATTTAGAGATCTCTGCAAATGTAATGCCATATTTTACTGAAGTAACTACAGCAATTTCTCAGAAATTCCTTTGGTTTGTATTTTGATTCTTAAGACTTCATTTGGAATGAGTCAAGTATTTTATCCCTGATATGGTCAGTGCCCCGGAAATACTGTTTTATTGTAAGTTATCTTGGATGAATAATTCACTTATCTGGGCCCATGTTTTCCTGTCTGTGAGAGGACTGAACTAGATAGTGTCTATCTCAGGTATCTCAGTTTATCTTCTTTGACGTTCTTCACAGCCCAACGGGGGAGAGAATAAAAATATTTGAAAATGTGTTAAGAATGTTTGCTGCATGACCATAATTTCTTGCAGAACAGCGTATGTAGCTGGAGACAGGAGACATTTGAGAGAAATCACCATTTGGGGACTGTATGCCTGCCACTCTCATGATTTAATCTATCCTTCCCAGTATCTGGAACACTGCCAGCCTCATGATTAGCTATTAATTATTTAGTGAGCTAATAAATGGAGAAAAGAGGTGCATAATACTGGAACTACAAGTAGTTTGGATTCCTTATAAGTAGGTGTGAGGAAACAGGATTGGTTCACTCCAGAGGTGTCAACGTAAGACAGAGAATCGCTAATGTGTGTGTGTTCACGACTGCATGTGTTCACACTGTGATAAATGGCTTCATGTATGTGGATGATAAAGCTTGAGAATTTTCCTCAGTAGGAAGAATCTTTACAACAGTCTGAAAGTAGTATTGTTTCCGGAAGCCAAGTGCTCCCACACGTGCTGTGAAATTCCCGCTCCCTTTAGGTTGGGCTCAGCCAGTGGAGGTTATTGTAACTAGGGCTTTCTGGAAGGGAGTGGCAGGAGCAACTCAAAGAGCTCTCTCCAGTACCCAAAGTGTGCCCAGGCCTACGTGGCCTAAGACCCAGCAGTCAGTATAATGAAAGACACTAAGGCTCCACCCACCTTTTCCGACCGGCCGCTAGGAGGTTTGCCTAGTTTATCCCAACTCCGCCTATCCAAGAGGCTCACAGTACAGGACGCCTTACTGCCTCCAGACCAGTAGAGGGGGCCTGTCGCAGCGCGGAGCCGAAAGTGCGTCCCAGGACGCCGGCCGCACTGCGCAGCCGCGGGACGCGTGGCCGTCCAGCCCCGCCGCCTGCCGAAGAAGGAGGCGAGGCGATGAGCATGGCGGGCGCCGGCGAGGGCGGGCATCCCCGGGCGCGAGTGTCCCGCCTCGTCTCCTTCAGCGCGACCCACCGACTCCACAGGTGGGGATGCGCCCACAATGCCCACGGTGAGGGGCGGGGCCCGGGTGCGGGAGCGCAGGTGTGAGAACCGACGCGCGCCCCCGGCCGCCCTGGAGCCACGGTGACGGTGACAGCTGTAGTCGACCAGAGGAGGCCGTGGGGGCGCGGTGGCAAACAGAGCCGACCGCCGAGGGCACGGCCCTGCGTGCGGAACCCGAAGGCTCCCCCGCTGGCTTGCTGCTCTGGAGCAGCTCCGGGGTCGCTCACGTTCCCTTAGTGGATCGCGAAGGGTTGCAGTAGCTCCCAGAGCAGTTCGCCTAGCCGGGGTGACACAGTGTCAGGGAACATTCGGCAAGTGTGAGCCGCTGTGAGGTGCCAGGAGTGCTAATCATCGTCACCAGTACCACTACAGCATCCCAGGTGTATACCCTTCTTACCACAGGTGTCATGAACCCAGGCGTTCCCTTTCCTAAGGCAGCCCTGAGAGCAAGGAGCACTGCCGGGCTTTGGATCCGGAGCATGGACTGCTTGACTGCACTGAGGAGTCGATGTGGGGGAGTTGTGCCTCTCATTAGCAAGCTCCGCTCTCAGCATACGTCTCCCCGTCTGTAGAACGAGGACAGTAATTTCTAACAAGGGCCATCCATTCATTCACTGGGCAGGCGTTTGTGGCGAGCGTGTCAGGTCTTGCGCTAGGTGGCAGGGATGCCGCAGCTATCAACGAGCACCTGACCCCGCCTTCTGTGCGGAGTGCACCATCTGGCCAGTTTTGTTGAGGGCACAGTGAGATAACTTTGTGCTATGGCTTTGTGAACCGTAGCATTCTAAGTGTAAGTGGATGGGCAGGAGAAAGTGGAGGTGGGGGCGGGGAGAGACTCAGAAAGGAAGGGGTGGGGTAATAGTACGTTCACGCATAGAAGGACTCACTGAAGATGCAGGGTTGATTGGACAGTTATAGACATAAAAATTAGAATTTTTTTGCGCCCAGAAATACAGTTGAGTATTGTAATTTTAAATTTTTACCTAATTTGAATACTGCTGTATGGATTGGTGAAGTCAGTGAGCAGTAGGTCAGGCATAATAATGCAAGATTGTTGCATTAGGAGATGTAGTAGACCATGTAATTATTTTTAAGAAGAAATGAGATTTTAAAAAAAGTTATTTTATTTTTTCAGTGTTCCAAGATTCATTGTTTATGCACTACCCCCAGTGCTCCATGCAATACGTGCCCTCCTTAGTACCCACCACCAGGCTCACCCAATCCCCAACGCCCCTCCCCTCCAACACCCTCAGTTTGTTTCTGAGTCCACAGTCTCATGGTTCGTCTTGCCTCTGATTTCCCCCAACTCACTTCTCTCCTTCACCCTAAGCCACTTGAAGACAAGCATCTTTTATCATTGTGTGTCCTTGCTTCGTTCAGTCCATGTCTACTACGTAATGGGTACCCAGTAAATGTATGTTGAGTTGAAAAATCGAAGGCCATGAGCAGATCAGTTGGAATCTTGCTGTGGAACAAGGGTGTGGACTTCGTTTACACTCATTTGTACATTATGGTAGCCTAATGAGGGGACATACGCTGGTTCCTGGCAGAAAGTGGAATAAGGAAATCAAGTTGATTTATGACTCCATTTGGTGAGCTAAAGTAACAAATTGTGAAGCTTTTCAAAGGCTAGAGCAAATAATAAATGTAGGGAACAGGGAAAGTGTCTGAACTTGTGTCATGCTAATTATTTTATTTTATTTTATTTTTGGTCAGCAAATCTCTGAGTAATGAAGAAAATTTGAAGCTGTTTGGGAAATGCAACAATCCAAATGGCCATGGGCACAATTATAAAGGTGAGAGAGAAACTGATGAAATTTTAGCCCTTTCAATAAGGATGAAAGTGTGATCAGCAAATAGAGTCTTAACGAGTAAGAAACTTTATAGACAAAGCATCTTTGAGCCTTAAATGAGAAGTTACATGGAAGCTCAGAATGAAAAAAATCTGTTGCCTTGGTTGGATGTGTCTTAAGTTTCACCTTGTAAGTATCTGCTC